ATATGATGTTCCGGTATCCTCATCTCTATGTATCTGCTCCTACTCTAGTTTGAGGTATTAATTCCTCATGGTACAATCTTTCGGATTCATGCGTTTTAGTCATTCTCATGTTTTCCATATGTATGCATGTCCACGAAAAATTAATTTTTTTTATGTTATGATTTAGCTTGGAGTGATTCTCCATGTTGTATGTGTATTTTTATGAAATAGCATTCATGTTGTATTTTTAGTTTCTCTCCAACTCTACTCATGCTAGCTTGAGTTCCATTAGAGGAAAAATATTCCCTAGGGAAAGATGTTGTAATACCTCAAAAATATGAAAATTACATTGTAGACTGCCGGTCCAACTCTACGGGTCCTATTTACAGATCGTCAAAGGTTCTACGGTCCGTAAAAGGAAGCCATAGAAAATAGCCTTGAGGGTCTTATGGTTTGGGTTTCTGATCTTTTACTACAGACATGCAGGACGGTTCGTAGAAAGATCTATTGCCCATAGGAAAGGAGTCGTAAAAGGTATTCCAGACTTAGTTAAAATTATGAATTTTAGGGCTATATAAGCTTGTACGGTTTATGGAAGTTTTGATGGGTTGTAGACCTATCTCATGGAACTTGACTTCAAACTTGGAAGGATTTTAGTTCATAAGTTCTATAGTTGGGTCTACGGTCTGTGGAACTTTACACATACCATTGAATAGACTCGTGAAAACTATGCAGAGTATTAAGTCCAGTATCAACTTCTACGGACGACCAGTACGGTCCGTAGAAAGTTATATTGGACCCCTCTGATAGTTTTAAGTTAGGGGTAGTTGGGTGTTTTCCTATGCATCTAATACTTATACTACGTCGTTTGAAACCCTAAATCTAAGCCCTATAACTACCTTTCACCCTTAGAAAGTTCCATAACTTTTTCATTCCCCCAAATTCCTAAATTCTCTCTAAGGTTCTCTCCAAGGTTCTCTCCAAAAATCTTCTCTCTAGATCAGAAGCAGCTAGGGTTCTTCAAGATCAAGTCTCATTTCTTCGTCATTTCTTAGGGCTTCAATCATGTTATGTAGGGAGATCATCAATGGGTTACATTTACCCATTGAGTCCCCAAAGTTTCTTCAATTATCCAAGTCAATTTCCCAAAATTGATTAGGTTTTCATTCAATTCCTCATGGGTTCTATTTATATGGATTCAATTGATTGATCATGATCTTTTTTTTATGATTTAGACTGAATTACATGTTTTTCAAATAATTCCATGTGAACTCATGCATGATCTATGATTTTTACTATGAACCCTAAATTGCATGAATTTGAAGAAAAACTATGAATCTATGAATCTATGAATGGTATTTTCATGAACTTATGCATGATTTGTGATAAAGGGTTGATTATGATGTAGGTTGCTTAAGATAAGCATCGATTACATATGAAAGCATTATCTCACATATGCATAAATAGTGAAAGGTTTTCTCACATACTTAAGAAATCGGGAATGGTGAAAGGTTTTCTCACACATCGTTTAAGGAGCTGCTCTATGATGTTTCTAGATTGGATTAGTAATGTAATTGTACTTTTTCATGGAAATGATGATTTTATGTTTATGACTATTCCGTTGGGATTTCTACTTAGCACCGAGAGAACATTGAGATGGATGCTCTCCCTTTAGTAGAGGTCAGATCTCTAGTAGCAATCTCATTATCCCTAAATAAGTGCCCTTAGAGAATGTCTTAGCTAGTGGATCCACATAAGCTAGAAGTTCATGGTCCTTACCTTGGCAAGTAGGACATCTCTTTTTGGTGTGGGAGCAAGACACTGGATTCCATGTTACAGCTCACATGGTCTATGTTGATTAAGAGTAAATATACCACAAAATGAACTAAGTTACCTTCAAAATGCTTTATAAAGCTTCATTTATGATTTCAAGATGCATTGACCATGTTTAAGATTATGATTCTATTTATAGGTTTCTACTATTCTAGCTTGGTCATACATATCATGTTTTTTTATTATGTCCAATTATGATCATATCTCATGTTTTGTTGTATTCCCATCATACTTAGTACATTACATGTACTAATGCATACTTGTGCCTACATTGTTTCCCTAATATAGGGTGTGACGATTCCTCTCCTACAAGTTGTGGCTAGTTGATCATCATAGAGATTGAAGACTTGGTGAGTCCTCATACTTCGAGGACAATGACACTTTAATATTGATTTTCATATGTTTTAGTTTTAGACTTTGTATATGGTGTATGGTTTATGTCCCAACTACCCCTTTTGATTTAATAGATGGCTTGTCATGACTTTCATGTACTTCCTCTTATATGTCAAACTCTTTAGTTGTAATGAGATTTCTTGCTTTTCGTTATTATGTTGTGTATATGCATGTCAAGTGTCTTGTGTATTTTGGGCTGTGACACCTACTCCCTTGAAATTGTAGCTCTCTCAAAGAATAATCCATCATTTGTATGCTTCAGAGATGTATTCTCCCACAAAAGCTACTTGTTCATCGATAAAATAAGTCTTTAATGGTCTATTTTTTCATCTAGAGAAATGTTTTGCGGATGACCATTGATGACATCTACTGGAAATTTGGCCAACTCCTAAGAGACGGTGGCATCCACGAGCCGTCGTTCGTGTGACAAGCCATGGGTGGCCACCCGTCGACGATACTTCCCAAACCAGATTTTCCTAATCTTCACAGATTTTCCTAATCTTTCTTTTCCTACTTGGTTTAGGATTTATTTTTTATATAAATACTAGTTTTCATCTCATATTTATATTACAAACTGCGAATCATGTTTACTTGTTACTTGTTACTACAAATAAATCAGTTATTACTTTATTTACAAATCCCCCCTTTTTACGGAAATAAATCTGACGAAAAGTACAATTAACTATGAATTAACTTAAATCTAGACCATATTCTTTGTGGGATCGATCCTAACCTCAGTTAGGTTCTTTATTTGGTAACGGCCGCTTATACTTCTTTAGGGAGGTGTAAGTTGGGTGTATCAAATTTTGGTGCCGCTGTCAGGGAATAAGGATTTTAGATTAGACTAATTTCATTATTGAACTTTAGTCAATTATTTCCTGATTTATGTTTTGTTTTGTTCTTGTTTTCTACATGTCTTATTACTAGTGTATTCCAACTACACTGAGTCAAGGCAATCCCTTGACCCCTTATGATCTTGAATTAAGAAGAACTCTAAGAAGAATGGTTGGAAGATACCAAAATCTTGAGGTACTAAATGATCCAATCGGAGCGGGTCAAGGGGGTGCAACTGGCGTACAACTTCCTCGAGCAGTGGAAGTGCCTAGAAATGTCCAAGGGAACCCGCAAGTTGACAATGCTGAAGGAGTGAAAAATCATCCAGCACCCGATGTGTGTGAAAACTATAGGGTTGATTATAATGTTATGGGGTCGACTGGTGCTATCGTTGTTCCTCCACTACCTCCTGGACATACTTTTGTGGTGACCAGCAGTCTGATGTAAATGCTTGCATCTAGAGGATTGTTTGTTAGGTTACCTTAGGAGGATCCATATGTTCATATGAGTAAAGCGAAGAGTGTATGTATGAGTAGCTTGGGACGACCAGATTTAGAAATGAATGTGATCGGCTTAAGGGTATTTCCACTTGTGTTGACAGGTGATGCTACGGTATGGCTGTCTGAGTTACCATATAACTCAATCACCACTTGGGATGGATAGCACAAGGTATTTACGGAGAAGTATTTTCCGTTGTCCAAAAAGTTAAACCTCAAGGATAAACTCAATAACTTTGTAGCATTGCATGGTGATTCAGTTAACAGTCCTTGGGATAGATTCACTGGGCTTATGAGGAGTGTGCCCAACCACCGCATAGATGACGAGTCACTGAAGGATTACTTCTACAAAGGGCAAGATGATAATGGAAAAGTTTTGCTAGATACTATTTCTGGAGGATCTTATTGGGCAAACACTTTTCAAGAGATTGTTGAGAAACTTGAAAAGATCTCTAAGAATAACAAGGAATGGAGCACTAGAATGTCGAATACTGGAAGGAATATGTTTGTAGCCCAAGCCAAGATAAATTAGTCCAATGATGATATTTGTGAGGAGATGGCTCAATTGACAACAGAGATTGGCTTGGTGTTGAAACATATGAGCGGAAGTGCAGATAAAGTGAATGCAGTGAACTATCGTAATAGAGAACCACCTAGTGATGAGTACACTTATGAGGAAGATGTGAATCTTGTGAATGATCGGGGGGTTCCGGACCAACTCACAAGCATCCAATTTGGATAATTGGCGCCAAGGTCAAGGAAATCAAGGTCGGAACTATGGTAACTACAATCGCGAAGGGAACTATGTCCGTGATGGGAACTACAATCATGACAACAACTATAACTGAAATGGGTATAGCAACAGGAATGATCATAGTGGATGATATGTTCCACCTAGGAACTGAGATGCTGGATCGAGTATGAATCGCATTTGAGATATGATGACCAAGATGATGAAAATATTTTATTTAACTTATGATAATGTAAAAGATATGTGTAATGATTTATCAGGCATTGGTCAAAAAGTTGAGTTACATGCAGTATTGATTAAACAGATTGAGCATCATCTTAGCTTGGTATCCACAGGTGGAAATCCACGTCAGCAAGGGACACTTCCTAGAAATACTATCCAAAATCCTAAGAATTATAGGATTATATGGCAGTTACTACTAGGGGTGGAAAGCAGATAATAGACCCTCATATGCCGACTGGAGTGGAAAGTACGAAAGAGCAAGATGAGGATGAAGTTGAGGTATTTGAGGAGCCAAAAGATAAGAATGAGAAGGACGCTGAGGTGATGGAAAAGATCATCTCTATGTTGCAACCTCCACCTCCCTTCCCACAAAGGTTGGTAAAGAAATTGGAAGAAGGAAAGTATCGCAGGTTCATACCTATGTTGAAGCAGTTGTCCATAAATGTTCCTTTGATTGAGGCACTTGAGCAAATGTCGGGTTATGCAAAATCATGAAGGATTTGGTGACAAAGAAGAAGGTTGTCAATTTCGAAGGTGATGACAAGTTGCAGCATTGTAACGCCATTGCTACAACATCTTTAGTGCAGAAGGAGGAGGATCCTCGAGAATTTACTATTCCATGTACTATTGGTATCTTGCATTTCGCTAAGGTCCTATGTGACTTGGGTGCGAGCATTAATCTGATGTCGGTGTCTATATACAAGAAGTTGGGTTTAGGGACCCCCAAACCAACTACAATGCAGCCACTAATGGCTCATCAAATTGTGAAGAAACCAATTAGGGTACTTCATGATTTCCTTGTGAAAGTTGAGGTGTTTATCTTTCCGGCGGACTTTGTGATACTAGATTGTGAAGTTGACTTTGAGGTCCCTATCATCTTAGGGAGACCATTCCTTGCTAGTGGGCATGCTATGGTTGATATGGAAAAAGGGCAGATGAAGTTCCGATTGAACAATGAAAAGGTAACTTTTAATAACTGCATATCTATGAAGCATGAAAGTGATCTCAAGTCGGCGTCGGTAGTGAATCATATTGTCAAGGAAGAATCAGAAGTGTTTATTGAAGATAAATCGGGTGTTGAAGCACTACCGGCTGTGATCATGAACTTTGATAGAGATGAAATTGATGAATATGATGAGCTAGTTTTTGCACGTGATGGGGTAAACTTTTCTCGTCGACAACCAAAGAAGTTGGATCTGGATCTAAAGAATCGAGACACTCCACCTACAAAACCATCTGTTGATGAGCCTCCGAAATTGGAGCTTAAAGCTCTTCCATCTCATTTGCGGTATGTGTTCTTGGGCAAAAATAATACTTTGCCAGTTATTATTGCTGCTGACTTAAATAAAGGGGAAGTAGAGGCGTTGATATCGGTATTGAAGCGATTCAAAAGGGCTATAAGATAGACCATTGCTAACATTATTGGTATTCCACTGGGTATAATTCTCACAAAATTCAACTTATGCCGGATAGCAAGCCAACTATTGATCACCAAAGAAGATTGAATCCACCAATGCAAGAGGTTGTGAAGAAAGAAATCATTAAGTGGTTAGATGCGGGAGTCGTATGTCACTCCCCGAAGCTACCCCAGGATGCAGACACAGGACCTAGGATCACGAGTGACCTCAAGCTAACCCTACTGGCATATCATAAGCATACTAAATAAACTGAATGAAAGAAATACTTGTGCGGAAGCTAAATCATCATGTAAGCTAGAATGATGGGGTATACCCATAAACTATCTGAATAAATATATAAAAACTGAGAGTTTAACAATGACTGAAAAATCAAACTCGAATGCTAAAGCTGAAACTAACTATGTCTGAAAATAGCCTCTAACTGATTAGAAGTGTTGGGACATGTCCCTTCTAAATCTAGTAAAAACTGAAACTAAGACTAAAAGCACAAGAAACATGTATGTCGTCCTCGGAGAATGAGGACTCTACCACTGATGTTACTGAGCTGAAGATCGGGAATCGATCTATGCGTGATCTGGAAGCTCAGAACCTGAACCTACATCACAAGAAGATGTAGCGCAGAGTATGCTTCAGTACTTGAAAGGTACTGAGCATACAGGATAGAATAAAGCTGAACAATAAACAAAACGTAACCAAAACATATATCTGAACAAAGATAAGAGATAAGCATGATACTATACTGAGAATACTGAACATGAACTAACTGAATACAATGACCAAGTTTATAACATGCTGAGTTCGAGATCTGACTGTAAATGATAACATGGTCAATGCAATAGAATCTAACTGTAAAGGAGCCACTAATAACCAACATAAAACCACATGAGCTAATGTGGAGTCTGATGTATACGCCCCATCGAAAGGACCCAATATACCCTGCCAGAGGTATAGAGGCATGAGTGGCGTGATCACTAAAATGTAATGCCCACAGAGGGAACTTATAAACCTATGGGGGCACGTAGTTCTGGGACTTGAGGGTGACTGACCCTAGTCCACTCGGTATTAAGCTACTCCCAATTGATTATGTAATTAACAATTTATGACTGAATTTCTGTAATACGAGATAGCTCAAAATGCTGACATGCTAACTGAAATGCAACATTAATGTACTAATAATGAAACATTCAAATTTGAGGCATGTATATGTGAAATAACTGGCATAGCATGTGTAATTCATGAACTAAAAGAACTACATAGCTAGGGTTCTGAATTTATGAAAGAATGTACACAAAATGATATAAAAATCATGATAATCTGATTTGGATCATTCTAGCAGCTAAAACCCAATAATTTCTAACATTCAAGAAACCCTAGGCCTAGATAATATTAAGGGAATCAAGATTCTGACTTAAATCTAGAGACCTAATGGGTGAAAGGAACCCACTAGTGAAATCCCACATACCTGGTGATGAAATTCACGGAGAAATCTTTTGATTTCGGGGCTGGAACTGATGAAAACTCGTTGCGTTCTTGAACTAGGGCTGCTCCACTTTTTCTCTTGTTTTTTCTCTATGATTGATGAATTTTTGGTGAATAATTGATTAGGTTAGGTTCTAATTAGTTTACTAGGCTAAAACTAACCAAAACTACGTAGTTTAAGGTTTAAACGACATAGTTTAGGGGTCCAACACATAAGGAAAAGACCAGACGACCCCAAACTTAAAAGTTGTTGGGGTCACCGACGGACCATGGCAGGACCAGCGGTCCGTGCTGGTCAACCGTCGATGGGGTTCTGGGACTAGATTTTGGGGCCTCGATCCATGATTTGTGGCCCTGACCTACGGTCTGTGGGTCATGACTTGGAGAACTTTCTAAGCTGATTCTGGAGAGGGCTGCAGGTGGCCATCCACGGACCACCAACACGGACCGTGGGTCACCCTACGGACCGTGGGTCACCCTACGGTCCGTGGGTGGCAACTGTGGGTTACACCTGCAACTTCTGAAAATCTGCTGGTTTGGTATGCTTCAGATACGGGGTGTTACATCGTATATCCTATTGTTGATAGTAGTTGGGTATGTCCAGTACAATGTGTGCCGAAGAATGGAGGAATCAGCTGGTTCCCAATGCAAAGAATGAGCTCGTTCCAATTAGGTCGGTGACTTGTTGGAGAGTTTGCATGGAATAGTGCAAGTTCAATGAGTGGACTGAGAAAGATCATTTCCCAATGTCGTTCATGGACAAAATGTTAGATCGACTTGCTGGAAAGGGTTGGTACTATTTTCATGATCGATATTCGGGCTAAAATCAAATCTCCATATCTTCAAAAGACTAAGAGAAGATGACTTTCACTTGTCCTTATGGGACTTTTGCTTTCAAGAGGATGTCATTCGGGTTGTGTAATGCGCCGATAACTTTTTAGCGTCGCATGATGTCAATATTTTCTGATATGGTGGAGGACACTATAGAGGTATTTATTGATGATTTCTCAGTAGTTGGTGACTCGTTTAATGATTGCTTGGTACATTTAGGTGAAGTGCTGAAACGGTGTAAAGGGTGCAATCTTATGCTCAACTGGGATAAATGTCATTTTATGGTAAAAGAGGGTATAGTTCTGGGCCATAGATTTTCGCAGAAAGGAATCGAAGTAGACAGAGAAAAAGTTGAAGTGATAGAAAAGCACCCATCTCTGGAAAAGGTGTTTAGAAGTTTCCTAGGGCATGCAGGTTTTTATAGTAGGTTCATAAAGGATTTCTCAATGGCATAGTGCTTCATCACTTATGGTAAATTTTAGCATGATAACTGATTCTTATTATGTAACTTAATTTATAATGATGGTTGCTTGTTATTTATGGTCAATAATGATTCCATGTCCCCTCCTTAATTATTTTTCTTGATTTCAAACAGTGATGTTGCTTAATTGTGCCAACCGGGAAATCTAGATTTCCTTCTTTTATGATTGTCATTAGTTCTTCTATTTAAGTACATATCCTCGTGATTTATGTGTTATTCACTCTGTATGCGAACTTCATTTGTTTGCTTATGAATATAATATTGGTAAGTGGATTGACTATTTTTTCTGAATTACTTTTCTTGTTCTATGTATGTATATGTTTAATTTGTTCACTTTAAAAAGGAAATTTTGTTTCTTTTAATTAGTCTCATAATCTGCTTAAAGAATATTTTCTATAATTCACTCTTAATTAATTCTCCTCCCTTTTATTTGTTTGGCCTCAAATGTGTTATAAAAAGGGACTTCTCCTCTCATTTTGAGGATCGCGTTTTAACAATCTAAATCACGCTTTAGCAATCCAATACTCTCTACTCTCAAAGAAAATAGTCTCTTACATATTATTTGAAAGATTGAGTTTGCTGCTTTGAATCAAATAGGAATCAAGTTTACTTTGCTGAATAATTAATCTGCCTAACTCGTTAGTCTTTTTTTGATCAATTCAATTTCTTATCTTGCATTAGTATATTATTTCACATACTTTATTATTCATGATGTTTAAAATGAAGCATCCGGGTTAGTCTCTATTCCGCTATGTGTGCCTATTTATTTAAGTTTGTATGATTATTATGAGTAAAAGGGAGCATACAGGTCAGTCTACATCCCCTCTTGTTGCGTGTGATGTTGTATTGGTTGGTATGTGTATGATTCACTGTTGCCTATAATATTGTTCTTTTTTTAAAATTAATTCTTCTAACTGGTAGTATATATTTCGTGTTTTTGTACTATGTTCGTGTGCCTTGATGATAAACAGGGTTTGAACATAAAAGTTCAAGATGTGAAGAATTCTCCTGGATTAGGGATACATCTGGATAGAGTTTTACTTTAAGTTAATTTTAATGTTGTTCTTTCTTTAAGTGTGGTTTTACTCTATTCAGCTTTGTAATATCTTTGTAAACTTTAACACTGCTCTCTATATATAATATTAATTTGGGGACTGCCTAATGGGGAGGGGATACACGTGCTAATTATTTTATTTGTTGTAACTTATTTTTGTTAGAAAGCATGTCTATAGGAGTGTGATTGCTTTTATTCATATTTATCAATTTCATCACCATACATGTGATTAAAAAAAAATCTGATTATTACTTGACTTTATGAGTATATCAATACATGGTCTAATCGTTTATTGGTAGTTCTTTTTAAGTTGGATAACATGCTTTGTATTGCCCAAACTGCCTATTAGAATAAATTAATAAATTTGCTTAACACACTTATTAGCATATAACAATAAAATAAATGCATGACTTGTTACATTGATGTTTCCTTGTCTTACTTAATTTAACGACCAACTTTTAGTTTATTAAAATGAATAAAATTAAAAATGTTTTAAGTCTACTTTAATCAAAATGTTTCTCAACCTAGTAATCACGTGTATAAGATTTATATGAATGTTTCTAGTATGTCTCCTACATAGAAAATCAAGTCTATAAAATAACTCAGCATTTTAAACCGCTTAGACATTTTGTTTATAGGCGTGCCTATTTATTTTCAGTTCGTTATATGAGTTAGATATCATGTTTAGGACCTGATCATTATTCCCAGCATGTTAATAAGAAACCAACTCAAGATATTTAAAATCTGATAAGCATAGGCTTTTTGATTAAGTTTTCTATTTGGATTTATGTATCCTAACTATCATATCCTTATAGTGCATGATTTCAGCATTTTAAAACAAGTTAAAAGATTGTTAAAATAATAGGATTTCGATTAATTATTGTCCATGTGTTCAGTCCTGCACATAATTGTGTCCTCTGCCACTTATAATTAATAAGTTAGTTTCAGCATGCTCATAATTAATTCTCTTGCCCGTCTAATACGCCTGCATAGTAATAGTTTTGATTAAAATCTGAACTGTTTAAATACTAGATGTGCGCTTCTGATTAAATCCTGCTCAAAATAAATAAATTTTATATCGTGAATAACTTTCATTGCCACTTAAAATCAACTAATAAATTATTTTCTGCATGTTATGATTTA